TTATGTAGCCTTTGCCTCATTTTCTCACTGCCCACTCACTGTGTGTTTATGAAACAAAGAGAAAATGAAAAGCTCCTCCAACAACGAAGCCATTAGTTTGGCCACATATCAACCCCTTTTGCCACTATTGCATCCCGGCAGAAATAGCACCACCCAAGCTATACGGGAGCTATGTGTAGCTACAGAGGAGGATACTGCATTTGACCCCACAAAAGAAGAACAAGTATTTTGGCTTGGTTTTTTTCTGTAATGGTGTCGTTTATCACTATGACACATATTCATTGACTTAGTCTGAATTTTTTCGGTGTCAGGTTTATACTTCTTTGCTGTTTTGAATATTGATGCAGCACTTCCCTTATGTGACTATACTGTGTCTGCCAAATGGTGTCTAGACACTAGAGCAGCTTTGACTAATCAGTGTAGTCCCCCCAGTCACTCAGCTTTGGCATTTACGTACTCTTTATGTTACTGCTGTCGAGCCATAAATAGGTACCTAAACACAAGCTGCAATGTAAAGAGAGGTGGTAGTGAGCATGTCCAGTCTTCACCCAACATCACTGAGGTGAGCGCAGGGGACAGCAGCCGTCACTCCCTGCATTCACTAACAGGGCAAGCAGTTGTAACCGCTCACTTGGACATCACAGCGTACGTGTGTGCAGTCAGCGGGAGATCCGGATTGAATGTCTTTCTTGGTCTGAAGATCACCAACGCAAAGGCAAGGCTAAGAGAGAAGATTTCTCTCTCTCTCAGCTGAGCCCCTGTGTACCAGCAATTCAAGATGCATACAGCCGGAGAGAAAAAAAGAAGTAAGAGAAATCAACACCTGCCCACCAAGCAGTAGGGGTACTTCCTGGGGAGGGCTCATGCATCTGGTTCGTAGAGCTGCTTTTCAGTAGGCTATGATTTACACCAGATCCAAACTAAAAATACAGTTTTAGAAATTTTCTGCAACTTCATCATTTATATCATGCTTTTAAATATTGCACGAGTACTGAAGCTGAGCTGATCAACTTTAAAGAGGGAGAACTGATAAATATAATTTCAGAACATCAAAGAACTTTTACAAAACCTTGAGAATAAAAAATAGTGAAAACCTAATCAATGTTGCCTACACAACAGGCTGTGCTATATAAAATTAAATTGCCTCAAAAATTATATGCAGATTAAACACAATACTGCTATAAACAAAGCTTATTTGTAAGCAAAATTTGAAAGTTTTGATTTATCCTGCTGAGTATTTGAAAAGCCACTATCATAAGGAAAACAAATTAACTTTGTTTTCGCTGTATTTTTAACTGTTACAAATGATTTTACTGGTGCTAATACAAAGCATTAGAGAATAGCAGGTTTGGGATTTTTTTCTCTTCTTCTCAGAAAGACTTGTTTGAGCAGATTTTCTTTGAATTTGCCAATAGGATTATTCTTATTTTTTCAGTTAGGGGTATACAAAATATTTAAAGTACGCTTTCCAGAAGATCTGCAGTCTACTTTAAGGAGATTTTCCAGGGCTAAGATAGGACGCATTTAATTTGTGTGTTTTTTGCCGTACAAAGAGAGGATTTTTTTTTTTCTTCCAGGGAAGAAGATTTCTCTGTGGTTCTCTTCAGTTCCTTTTTGTTATGCAAGGGAAGGGAAAAAATCATTACTGCTGCTGTGCACAAAGAGGATTTGTGATTCTTCAACAGAAAAAGAAATTAGTAGTTCCTTTTAAATGTGGTCCTGCTACATGTTACGTACAACATAAAACTGCCTGCCTCTCTCCAGCCATCTAGCAAATAGATACATATATGTACATTGCACATGTAAGATCGTGCACACTTTAAGGCACACATGTTGCAAGCTTGTTTCTCCTCTAGATTACCAAGCTGCTCGGTCGTGGGTTAGACACTTACCCACCAGTTACTACCCACAAGTTGCTTCCTACTGAAGGAACACTCAGTTAACACAGTATGAATATTTTTATAGGACTGCTACCATCTGATTGCTCTTTTTCAGCAATACCTAGAACGATTGTCTCTTTTACCCAAACAGTTCTTAATATCATGTGCAATACTTAAGGATAAATGATAATATGTTTCCTAATTAGGCTAATTTGTCTCTCTAGATAAATAGCAGTACCACTGTTTTAGTATTGCTGATGAGCATGCTTTCATCAGTGCCACTATACTGGAAATGTTTGGGCCTAGATCTTCAGTGAGCATTAATCAGCAGATCTTCACTGAAAATGATGGAGTTACTCTGTGGCAGATGGAGGTCTGTCTCTGTTTTTATTTGCTGGCCTTAACTTTATCTCCAGTGGAAATGAATCCACATGAATATCAGGTGTAGTTAACAGCTCAGGAGAGAGTGAGAACTTTGATAGCATGAAGTTTGCATGACTCACTAGGGAGGAGGTGTGTGATGATGTCCAGTAATGCTCGGACCAGAGCTATCTGAACTATATTTGGCTTACGAAAACTTAAATGTGCAACATTGTCAGATCATTACCTTTTATGACCACAAAAATTCTTCAGAAATTAACATAGAAATCAAGCTGTATGCAAAAGAGATCAGCAGAGCAATTTTTAGCCTCCTTTAGGGTTTACAACAAATAAATGCTTTAAGCAGACTGGGTAGTAAATGACTGGTATTATTCCATAGTTATCAGTCCTTAAAAACATTTAGAGAAGAAGAATGTATTAAATGATCTCTGGACCAATGCACCTAATAATCTAAGGGAGAACTGGACGTTTAAGAATGATGAAATGATTGCAAGAAATGTTTTCAGGATTTTCAAGGTGCTGATCGTATAATTGCCGCTCCAGAAAGATTTATTTGTGGTCACATAAATAATGAAATTTAAATCTGAGGAGCTACTTCGTTTTAGAAACACAAAAATACTGCACATAGAGCAGGCTTGCTCCTTCTACCACGGCAAAGGTTTTTCATACTAGGTAGATGTAATAGGCTCTCTTCTGTCCTGAAACAGACTTCATCCAGGTATTAGTAGAATTTGTAAAAACCTTAGAAACTGTCAACTGCCTTTGTTCCCAATTGCTCAGGTGGCTGGATCCAAGCCACTATCTTAATTATCAGCTGAGAGAGGAATCACTGCAGTGACATAGGGTTTCCTTGCCCAGATTTTCTTCATGGTGCTGCTATTTATCCCTTCCCATACCTTGGGATCTATTTCTTCTCAGCCTGTCCCCTGGTAGGTACAGTATATATTCACCAGCCAAGCAGAGATTTTATAGAAATTTAGAAATTTATGTATACATATAGGGTATCTTGAAGGGTCAGTAGAGAGCTTGACTTTTTAAAGCTACTAAGGCAACTGGGTACAGATGTCCATCTCAAGGTCAAATGGTTAATAAGGGAAGGGAGAGAGTGAAAAGCTTACAGTTGACTGGTTTAAAGAAAACCACGGATTTGCTGGTGTCAGTACAGTTAGCGAGGGATGGAACTAAGAAGAGGTCATGAGAATAGCTCAGATAAATTCAGGTACAGTTTGCATACAGTCTATTTATAGGATGCTTTCTCAAACTAAGCCTGTGAACCTTTTGAAGTTTGCCCATCACTGCTGTCAGACCAATTAATGATGTACATCCAATCCCATTCTGAGATAGGTAAAACAATAAAGAAAACAAAGATAATTAGTCTCTGGAGCATGTAAACAAATAAAGTAAATCACTTGCAAATCACTTGTTTCTGCTAACGTTTGTGTTTTTATTGCAAAACTAAAAAAGAGCATTTGTATTGCAAATCTACATAATATTAGAGCAGTGCTGAAAATGCATAGATTATTCTGATTTTGACGGGGCTTTGCAAAGATTACGCACCTGATCCTGAAACATCGCTGTGAGTTGTTACATGCAAAAGAACATTTTCATCCCTTTTTCACAGAAGATCGAAGTAGGGAGGTTAAATAATTCTGTTCATGGAGATAAAGGTCTAAATAACACTTTGTAGATAAACAAAAGTCACTGCTCCAAGTTTACAAGTCTAAGTGAAAGCACTAGTGGAGCTGAAGAGAGCAGACCAAGATGGGCAGGAGAGCAGCTGTAGGGTGTGGGACCTTGACGCACCTCGGTGATGCCTCTTAAATTTTACAGACCTGAATGGGAGCATTATGTGGCCTTTAAAGCGCAAATAACAGAAGAGTTTGTGGCTGCTAGTCCTTTTTTTTTGTTTTCAAACATAGTCGTAATCTGCTAATTGCAATACAGCTTTGGTCCTAGTCTTAAAGCACTTTCTATAAGTAAGCAGTGCTCTCCAGCTCTTGGACATGGGGTAACTGAGGTAAGTGAAGATAATACGGCCATTCAGCAGCAGAATTCGATGCAGAGCACACATTCCCTTCTTCTCAGCCTTGGGTTCAATACTGTAGACTTCAAATAAATGCACAATTTACAAGAACAAATAGATTCTCAGTACCATGGCTCTGGGGGGCTGTGGAGACCATGCCATCTGGATTTGCCTGCTACCCCAGTTCAGCCAGCTGATTCTGCAGGCCAGTCCAGAGCCAGGGGTAAGCCCATCCCCTGGAAACTCAGGGCAGTACCAAAGCAGGTCCTGCCTCAAGTCATGTAGTAAGAGGACTCTGTGAGCACAAACATACAGTTTTGTGTAATCAGTAAAACAGCAGAAACTGTGTTCTGAATCTGTAGAATAACAGGTTCCAGTTAGAGTTCAGATCCAGACAAAACGACTGCTCATAGGATAAAATTGGTCTTTGTCTTTTTTTTGGCATGGAAATGCAGAGCATTTATTTTAGTAAAGGGCAGGCATTTCCCTGTTGTTCTGTCCCTTTTTACTGTTTTCTTACACTTTTTTGTTCTGACTTCAAAAATGGATTCTGGAAAGAGATGCCTCTTAGAAAGAGACTCTCATCAGCTGAAATGCGTCCAGTATATATTTAAGTTAAAGAATATTAAGCCTTGTCCAAAAATAAAAAGAGTGTAAAAGGTAAGAATGCCTTCAGGCTTGATTTTTAAAGATATGCATTTTTCTTCACGTTGCAGATCTCGCCTTGCAGATTTCTTCACAAACTGCCAGCCTGAGTCACGGTCTGTTAGTAGCTGTCTGAAGGAGAACTACGCTGACTGCCTCCTCGCTTACTCGGGGCTTATTGGTAAGAAGGCAGGGAAGGGTGGGGGCTTGCTCAGTCTAAGAAAAACACCCAAACTATATTTTGAAGGCCCACGTGAAATAAAAACTGTGGAATATAATACTGTATAATATGATACCAGGCAAAATTCTCCACCTAAGTGTATTGGCCCTGTTTTACCTTACAGGGATTCCTGGGGTAAATTTGTACATTGCAAGGAAATTAAGGATAGACGATAAGGAGAGAAAGGTGCTTGAATCTGAAATAAATTCAGGCTTACAAAGTAAAGCTTATTAAGGTGGTTGAATTTGGACAGGACCGTGAAGTCAGAGGCTAAAAAGAACAAGTGAAACTGCAGGTTGGTTGATTTTGCAGCTGTCATCACAAGGTTGGGTAAATACCTCTTGGTCTTCAGGGAAAGTTTGCAGGACATTTGAGGAATGAGACAATAGACCAATGCAGCCTTGTTTCACTTCCAGCTGCTATTCTTTCCACGATGTCCTTCTGTCCACTCTAAATGTTTTCTGAGATGCCTGTCAATGGAGGTGATTTATCTTCTGAAATCTTCTTCCCTCCCCAACATAATTCATTTTGTTTGCTGTCACCTTCCTGACTGTCAACAGGCACAAGGATGCCTTTATGCAAGCCAGATACCATATACCACATGCAGTATTTGATTCCTGAAAGAGAGGGATCATCTCAGGAAGGTGAACTTGTTGTAGAAATACCATGGTTCAGCAATAAAGAGTATGTGAATGTCAAAACTCTGAAACAAACAAATTTTAAAGGCCACCAGATAAGATGTTTTTAAGCTTACAGCCTGCACCTGCTGCGATGCAGTTAATATCCCCTTCTGTTGGGCGTGAAGGTCCCAGCTGAGGCCCTGAAGCAGATCCTGCTGTTAAATAAATGTCTCTGGAGATAATATCCAAAATAAAATATTTCTAAAATAGGTTGGTTTTGCTGAAAAATGACTGAAAGCTATATTAACTATCTTATTGTTATCATTCTTATTACTCTAGCAGCTAATAAGTGGGGTAAGTCCATGTGGCAACTGGTAAAATAAGATGTGATGGTTTCAAAGGATATGCTTCTACGACTTAAGAGATGAAGACAGTATGCAAAGGGTATAATGTATGAAGTTATGACAGAATGTCATTTGACTCTAAAACAATGAATTGAATAGCCTTGAAATCTGACCTAGTCAATGAGATTAAGAAGTCTAGCTGCTGGCAAAGAGTAACTGTTACTAATAGATACT